CCCGAGGCTGGGGGCTGTGCCCCTCTCAGGAATGGGGGTCCAGGCTCAGGGGCTGTGCAAATGTCCAGTGCCATGGGGCTGGTGCCACAAACGGGGCTCCAACCCAGGCCCCCTGGCTCTAAAACATCACTCTTTCCAGAGCATTCCCCCCGCCACTCCCCTGCCCAGCACCATCAGAGGGACAGAGGAAGGCTGCACTGTGGTCCGGGAACCAAGTTGGGGAGTGAAAATACATCTGTAGAGCCACAGCGAACCCCAAATTCGATGGCCCAGACAGTGGGGAGGTTGTAGCCCCGGGTCCAGTCCTGCCTGTTCACACCCGGATTCCTGCCTGATGCAGGTGCCTGGACCCCTCTCCGGCCACGTCCTCTGGGTGGCCCTTCAACTTGGTTTCCAGCACGTCTCTGAGGCCTAGAGCTCTGCCCTGGCCCCGGCTCTGTGGCTGGGTCCTCCACGCCCATCAGGCAGACCCCAGCCCTACCCTCCTGGTGCCCCAACTTCCTCTCAGTCCTGGTTCCCCAGAGATCAGCCTCTGCCTCCCGGTACCTTTCTGCAGCTGCCCTCGCTCTGGGCCCCGGAGGACCCCAGCTCGGGTTCCTCACCCTCACCCATCATGGGCCCTTGCACGGCCTGCTTTTATTTATTTATCCAACTAATTCACATTAACCATACAGTCAGCACATGCAGGCCAGACCCAAGGTCTGATCTGGATGACAGCCCACATGTAACCAGAAAGTCCCTCGGCCACTCTTTCCCCTCCCCACCCGGGGTAACTCGCCTCCTTTGTGTGCCATCGGACTGCAACTCTGTGGAGTCCTTAGAGGTGTGTTTTTTTAAAATTGTAGCTGCTTTTCACTCTGTAAAAAGAGCGCCGTGCCGTCCGCAGTATGTGGGAACTTGTTTTTCCATCCATGGGACTGTTGTATCACAGAGACGCATTCATTTCTCTGCGTATCACCCTGGACCATTCATGTTGCCTGCCGGGTAATATTCTGCCATTATTCGTGTCCTCGCCTGCCGATGGGCGTCTGGGCCGTGGCCAGGTTTTTCTTACTGAGAACAGGCTGTTACGTATCCTCTTGTCCGTGTCTCCCATTACGCATCTGTAAAGGGTGGAAGCCGCCGAGGGGAACAGCTGAGTCACGGGGCTTCTGCCACAAGCCCCTCCTGCCTTCAGGCCGCCCGGCCATAGAGGCAGCTCAGCACGGCCCGGGGGACCCAAGGCAGTAACTGCTTTAACCTACCTGAGCTTCAGTTTTCCTGTCTGTTAAATGGGAATAATCATACTACACATTGATACAGGTCGCACGGGTTACAGACCCTGTACCACGCTCCGTGCTAGGCAGAGGGGAGAGAGGCAGCCCCGTTTCCCGGGAGCAGGTGGCTCGTGTGCAAGGACACACCCAGAAGTGCATAATCTCAGGACTGTGACGGATATTATCATCACTGGGGACGGAAGGGCCGGTCAGTGTGCAGGCTCACTGGGACGGGAGGACTTTGGCCTGCCTGCCGAAGTCGAGCTGGGGGCCACGAGGAATGGGGAGCCCCAGAATCGGCGATCGGAGCCAACAGGCAGGAGGTGTGCTCCCGTCTGCAAGGACTGAGCACCCCTGGAGGGAGCCTGGGTGCCGGCTTCTTTCTCTAGACCTTTCTGCTTTCTTCTGCCCTGCCCGCCACCTTCCGCAGTCCTGCCTCTGCACATCCCCCTAGAATTGGCCAAAGGCCATCACCCCACGCTGTCTGATTTGATTCTCCCAGTCGCTCATGACACGAGCAGATTTTATTTTCCGTCTTATAGCAAAAGAGACCCCTGTTCAGAATTGCCCTGCAAATTGCAGAACCAATTAAGGCTTTATTTTTTCTAACTAAAACTTGAAAGGGCAGATTCTCATTGTTAAAGACAGCAGAAATGAAATGTAAATAATACAAGAGACCTATTGAAGACCCAGGAGAAACATGAAAAAACCGCGGCTGGTTAAGAGAACAAAGCCTGACACACACGATCCGCCGGTTCTTCCTTTGGGAAGAAAAGCCCCGTGAATGGTGGCCCCGAAGCACTCCTGTCACTGGCTATATGTTCTAAAGGGCTCCCATGAGCCACCGCGGAGAATCCTCAGCTGGGCGGCAGCCAGTGGTTGGCAGGAGAGGCAGGTTAGACCACTCTGGCCCTTCCACCTCCTCCCTGGGACCGGCTGCGGACGATGTGGCCAAACCTCCCTCATTCCAGACCAAACCAAATGGGCCACGCTATGCCAGAAACACCCCTGGCTTTCTGGGCTGGTGCCTAATTCCAAGTGGGCCAGTAGCGGACCTACTTTAACGGAGGCACGAGAATGTTTGTAAACAGGTGCCGAAGGGTCCAGGAAGCCTGTTCTGAGGCCTGTTTACAGAGCCTCTCTGGTTTGAGTGGGCAGGTCACGTGGGTAAAGTGGAGGCCCTGGGCTCGTTTCAGAGCCAGGCTCGCATTGCAAAGGTCTGGACTTGTTCTGTGGTGAGCCGGCAGGTGACTTTGGCTGGGTCCGGCTGACACAGGGCATTGTGACCCTGTGGGAATCGGGACATTTTGTGGGTCTGGCCCACAGAGCCAGCTCCCACCTCCCTCTGCCCCGGTCCTACATAGGATTTCACGTACAGGCAACCTTTGCTGAGCCCTGGCAATGCAGGGGTCTTTGTGTCATCAGGTTCCTAAGTACCATGAGGACAGCTAGAAGGCAAATAGTCCCCAACCCATCCCCTGCTTTCTGTTTCCTAACAGCACTTGGCCCCAGACCAGGTAACTTCTGGGTTTTGAGCCTCTCTCCAGCTCTTTGTAGACAGAATATGGAGAGGCTACAGACACCTGGGGCCCAGCTTCTGGGGTGTGGACCCAGCCATGACTTGTTAGAGAGGGCAGAGCTGGGACCAGAGACCGTAGCCTCTCCCGAAGGAGGGTAAGTCAAGGCGACGCAACATGAGGACAGCAGGGTTTGTTCTGATCAGAGCCTCTCTGGCTTGGAAGGTGGGTGTATGGATGGACACAGTCAACCCCTTTGCTCAGCCGTCACTGAGTGTTGACTTTGTGCCCAGCCAGTGTTAGGTACTGGATGTGTATACATACAATCCACTATCCTTGCCTCTGTGAGCTGTAGTCTGCTGAGGGAAGCAGACCTTTAAGTATTTGTATTAGATCATGGGACACACTCAGGACCGTCACATGCAGTTGCACGAGTTGTACACTGCCCAAGTCTAAGGGCGTACTTCACATAGACTGTGAGATGAATGACCCCCCCAGAGTTGTGATGTACCACCCACCCAGCTGTCCACAGGGGCCTGAAAGTCCTCTCATAGACATGGCGTCAGGGAGGACCACCCATGGTAGGAGATGAGGGTCATAGACATGGCGTCAGGGAGGACCACCCACGGTAGGAGATGAGGGTCATAGACATGGCGTCAGGGAGGACCACCCATGGTAGGAGATGAGGGTCATAGACATGGCGTCAGGGAGGACCACCCATGGTAGGAGATGAGGGAAAGGCAGGCTGGTGCCGATCAGGAAAGGTTTTACCCTAGAGGAGATGCTGGAACTGGGTCTTGAAGGATGAGCAGGAAGTCTCCAGCCAACGAAGGGAGAAGGATACGCTGGGTGGCGGGAAGAACGTTTGTCAGCCTTTGCAGGCATGAGGGGGGGCAGGCCGGGAGTGGAAGAGGGAGCAAGGCAGTTCATGGTGGGGGGAGTCGGGGAGAGAGGAGAAAACAGATCAGGGTGACTTGGGAGGTGAGACAGGGTGGGACTTACAGACATGGGGGGCGCCGGGCAAGAGTCTGGGGCTGACTCCTGAGAGCCACAGCGGCAGGTCGGCTGCGCTGCCCTCCCTGAGGCCTGCCTGTGCCAAGGGGCACATTCCGAGAGGGGTGTCCAGCAGCGGGCAGGGCCACAGAGTGGCTCAACCCCAGGAGACGGGTCACTTCAACAACATGTTTATACTCCATTTACACACAGGCCGCTGTTGCCTCTGCTGGTGTTTATGCCCCCTGGAATAACGTGTGTGGTCTATTTTGGGAGCCTCCCTCATGGCCGAAGGCACAAGAAGCAAATGCCGTGACTGCTGGCCTTCAAAGGGCTCTCTAGGACAGCTGGGCGGGCCCACCCCGCCCAATGAGTGCCTGTGCACAGCGATCTGGTGATTAGGGGGCTTCTCAGGCTCTTTCTGAGCACGTGGGGGTCCCTGGGAAGGGGCTAGGCCTGACCAGTGCTTGCTGTTGTCCACAAAGCAATTATAGATTTCACTTGTCCAGGCAATAAATGCAGATTGGATATGGGACAGGCAGGGACAGAGATGTAATTTGCAAACCAAAGAGCTGGAGGGAAATCGACGAGCGTGTGTGTTGGTGGAGCAGGATGCCGCCTTCTTCCCATGGGGTGGGGAAGAGAACGCCCCCTCACTGACGACTCCAGCACAGACATTTTCTCGAAGGTTGTCTTGGCCGGGCGCAGTGGCTCACACCTGTAATCCCAGCACTTTGGGAGGCCAAAGCGGGAGCATTGCTTGAGGCCAGGAGTTCAAGACCAGCTGGGCAACAGAGCAAGACCCTGTCTCTACAAAAAATAAGAAAAATTAGCCGATGTGGTGGTGGGTACCTGTAATTGTAGCTACCATGGAGGCTGAGGTGGGAGGATCACTTGAGCCCAGGTGTTCAAGGTTGCAGTGAGCTGTGATCCTCCCTCTAAGAAAAAGTGCAGCCTAAGATTCTTGCGCCTGGCAGGATCTTAGGTGGCTCAGGGGGTCCCCAAGATTGGGAGGTGCAGAGGGTTTGATCAGCATCTCTATGCCTCTCCGCGACCTCCTGAGTCCGAACTGGGGGGACACGTCAGGAGAGACAAGCAGCTTAGCTGAGGTCACCAGCAGCCTGGGGTCAGAGCTCTGGGTAAACTGAGTCCATCTCCCACTGGGTCACAGTGGGCAGCTGCCCCAGGGGCCTGCCAGGACTAACGAGATACCCGTGTCTGTCTGTCCACACAGGTGCAAGTTCTTCAGTCTGACTGAGACGCCAGAGGATTACACCATCATCGTCGATGAGGAGGGATTCCTAGGTAAGTGCTTCTCCCCCCGGGGCCCCCCAGGGGCTCAGCCGGACTCCGGAAGTCAGGGCTGGCCTGGCCCCGCCTCCTTATTTCTGCCGCTACCTGCTTGTCAGCTAGAAAGTCAGCAAGGAATCGGTTTCCTTCTCTCCCTGTGTTCTGGCGGGTGTCCTCCCCGCCTGCTCTTGAGACTGCCCTAGGAAAGACTCCAGAGCTGCAGGGGCAGGGGTTCAGGCACTGCATCCCCCAGCTGAGAATTAAAGCAACCCAGAAGGAAAAGGAGCGCGTGAGGTTGAGCATGTCCTGTGAAAAGGTGCTTTAAATGTCCTCAGCCCTCGTTCCCGTTTGGGGCAGCCTTAATCACGATCCTTTTCTTTTTTCATTTACTTTTTTCCATTTTTTAAATTGAAATATTCACATATTATAAAATTCACCATTTTAAAGGGCACAGTTTGGCAGTTTTTTGATATCCACAAGGTTGTGCAGCCATCACCATCTACCTGATTCCAGAACATTCTCATCACCCCCAAGAAGAAACCCTATACCCGTTAGCGGTCACTCCCTGTTTCCCCCACGCCCACCCCAGATCCCTTGAGTTTTATTATTAAAGATTATTGTGTTTGTTCTGCTGTAAAGGGACTGATAACATTTGTGGGGAGCCTTCTAGGCTGCCAGCACCATGCTGGCCAACGCGCATTAATTCATGAGGAGGTGTCATCTTGCCTGTGTCCGGGACAGGCCCTCACCCAGGCCCATGAGCAGTGGAGCCAGACTCCCCCTAAAGCCACCGCTCTCTCTGAACCACTAAGTTACTTTCTTCAAAACTTACAGAGGATGCAACCAGTTAGACATTCTTAAAAACCACACTTCCACCTGGAGACAACTGCTAGTAACTTTTTAGCGTTTTCCTTCCAACAATTTTCTGTGCACAGGCTGCTGCTTTTTCATTTACTTATGATCGTATGATGTACAGAAATGTTTTCGCTTAACATTGTGGCTTAAAACGTGGTGTGTTGTTACAGACTGTGACGGCGGACATAGTGGTAGACTTCACCCAGTTCCCTGCGGTTAGAATTGAGGTTGTTTTAATTATTCTCCATTGATAAGCTTATACACTCCTTAAATGTGTCAAATTTATTCTTATTCAGATTGATTCCTAAAATGGAATTATGAGAAATGGAATTATGGGGTCTTTACTGGTTTACTCAGAGTCGGGGGCTATGACTCCGGAGCAGGGTCCGGCTTCCTGCTTCACAGCAAAGGGAGTGTGCGGATTCTCCCTAGGGAGCCCTTGCCCCGCCACCAAAGGCACCCACCTGACCATTCACTCCCTCATTCATTCATTCATTCATTCAGCAGGCGTTTTCAGAGCTAGGAGCCACAGACAGGAACTTTCGCCTTAGCACAAAGCACAAGCCACGTGAAGATTGTATTCTTGGGCAACCCAAACACATTTTGATTTTCTTGCGAGCACTCGTATACCTTTACCCAGAACTGCCGAGACTTGTGGCACCTCAAAGATAGAAGGAACCTCCTCGTGTATCTTATTTCTGAGAATAGGTATGATGTTCCCTGGGAACAGATATTCTATTGAATCAACCTCCCCGGATGAGACTAGCTCACTACCTGTCTGGGCAGCAGGTGGGAGGATGCCGTGCGTGGTGAGAGGGGAGCTGGCGGGCCGGTTTCGCAGGCCCCAGAAAGCTGTGTGTACAGGGATCGTCAATACCCTGGGATGTGTCCTGCCGCTGAGTGGCTGGTTATTCTGAGCCTCTGAGCATTGCAAGAGGCAGCGTTTACTGAGCGCCTGCTGTATGCTGGCCCTGGAGATGTATGCAGGAATGAGAGAGAGACCACCTCAGACTCCGTGGGCCTCAGGCCTGCCAGCTCATTATACCGTTAGTCATGGGATTGCCTCTGTGGCAGGGCCTATGCACGGGGCCATGGGGTTCTGCGAGAACATGTCACAGAGGGTACCCTGCATCCTGCATACAGGGGAGGGGGTACGAGGGGCCATTGGAACAGGGAGCAAGACACCAGAAAGTAGAGAACTGAACTCACTGGCCCAGCGTATACTGACTCATTTCACCAACCTGCTGGCACTTCTATCTGCACACACTGTACTAAGCCCTGGAAATGACTCATTTTATAGATGAGGCCCTGAGGCACAGAAATATGACATAACCTGCCCAAGGCCTCACGGCTGGTGTCATTTGTGGATGTTCCCATGGGCCAGGCCCTGGGCAGGGAGATGGAGGGATCCAGCCTCTGCCATGAGGGACCTATAGTTCCTGGGGACAGAGACACAAGACTCAGAATGACAGTATCAAAGGAGAGCAGTGCCTGGCTGGGCAGGAGCAGTCTAAGAGGACTTCCTGGAGGAGGTGATTGAGGTGGACCCAGCTAAAAGAGTAAAGAGCCCCTGCATGTGTGTACAGCCAGGGCTTCCAGGACAGGGTGGGACGGGAAGGCTGGCCCAGCATTCCCGGAGAACTAGCGTGTGAGAAGATGGGCAGGAGGAGATGGAACAGGCGGGGCTGGGAGGGGCTGGCATGGAAGTTGGGGCTTTATCCTGAGGACAAGAGGGAGCCATCGAAAGGTCTTAGCTAACTTTGGAGGGCTTGCCTGGAGGAGGAGCAATCCAGAAAGATTCCAGATCTGAATTTACCCGGGACTTTTTCCTGAGCTCCCCTCTGAACAATAGGAAGCCCCCCCACTCACCACCCCCCATATTTTATTTGGGTCCAAAGGAGTGTGAGGAGCCTTCCACAGCATGGCACTTTTGGGGGGGCTCCAAAGAGGAGGCATCTGGTGAACTCATCTGGTCACAGAAGGCTTCCTGGAGGAGGTGACATTTTTGCTGCCTCTGTGGCTGAGAAGGTGGGGAAGGAAGCAAACATGTCAGGAGAAAATTGTGTAAGTACAGGAGCAGAAGCAGGGACCAGGTCCAGCCTGTTAAAAAGTTAGAAGACAGAGGTTCACACAAAACAGGCAAGCAGAGCATGGTTGAGCCTTATTCTGTCGGCAGTGGGAGCCATTGAAGGTTGTTGAGCTGGGCTCGTCATCCATGGGGCGGGACTTGGGTTGAGTCCCTGGGTGCATGTGTAGGAGAGGGAGGAGAGAGCAAGGCGGGGCCCCCTGGGGGTGAGTAAGCAGGCTCTGTTCAGATCAAGGTCTTTAGCGCAGGCCGAGACCCTCAGCTGGCCCAGGGAGGGAAGTGCCCACAGTCCCTCAACCCTGCCGCTCCCCGAGCCTTTCCTGGTGGCAGAAGCAGAGCGGGGAGCAGAGGCCTCAGGACCATCTGAGCCCAAAGCCTGTGTTTTAATAAGAGACTCCCCACCGCTGAAGATCGGGCCCCTCTGGAATGGGCTTAGGGCCAGGCCTGGGCTGGGCCCACCGAGTGTCCCCCCAGCACCAGGATTGGAACACCAGCTGCCCAGACGCCTTCACCTTACAGTCCTGGAGCTGAGCTCCAGGGGTTTCCTCAGCACCCCACCACGGGCTGGTGGCCGAGGCGGGTCTGGAAGGCACTGCACGGTGCTAGAATGACCCGCTGCCCCGTGGCCTTGGGCCAGTCAGCTGCCCTCCCTGGGCCCCAGGTTCCTGCAGAGCCAGGTGTACATCCGTAAGCAGATGGGGACGGCTCTCTGCCCCGTCCTCACTGATGGGTGGGGAGTTCAGAGACACTGGCTGGGTCTCGGGTGGCCTGTGGGAATGGCACTGGCTCCCCCAGCCCCTTGCCCGATCCTGGCCATTTGGGTTTGGAAGCGTGGGACAATGTCAGAGGCCCACCCCAGGTCTGGCAGTGTGACCGCACCCTGCCCAGGGGTGGGGGGAGCCGGTGAGGGTGGGATCGGCAGGGCCCAAGCAGTGTAGAGAGCCTGGCAGAGCCGCCACCGTCCTTGCCACCCATCCGGCAGGTGCTGGGACGGGATTGGCAGAGAGCAAAGCAGGCAGAGGTCACCACCCTGACGTCGCTGACGCCTCCCGGGGCTGACTGTGGAGCTGCACGGCCCGGTACGGTAGCCACTTGCCACGTGTGGCTATTGAAATTTCAGCGAATTAAAATAAAATTCGAAATTTCACTTCTGCGGCTCAGCCACACTGCGAGTGCTCCATGGCCACTGGTGGCTAGCGGCTACCACGTTGGGCGGCACAGGTGTCGACCCCCTGCCATCGCAGACGGTCCTCTTGGGCAGCGCTGGGTTAGCATATCGCAAGGACTTGGCTTTTACTGGGAAGAAGATAGGAAGCCACTGGGCGGTTTCGAGTCACGAGGAGCTTGGAATAGGCAGAGCAAACGGGGTGAATTCACAACAGCTAGCGTGGTCCTGCTGGGTTAACACGCTGCCAGAACTTTCCCAAGGATGCTTTAGGGGTCCTGCCCTCATGAAAGGGGCATTTTTTATGTCCCCTCCTCGTTAAACATATTTAAATGGCTGCTTAGAGCGACTCGCTGTTTTCTGGGCTGCACGATTTCCTGCTCGGCGCACAGGGTGGCGCGAAGGTTGGAGACGGCCCCTGGGCAGAGGGCAACCACGCAACACGGCTGGCCGCTGGGTCTGCCTCTGCATGTACAACCTGGAGGGGGGGTGGGGGGCACACCATGCTGCCCCCACGAAGTGCCTCCCTTTGCCAGGGACGGCTCCGTGGAATTTTAGGATTGAGATGAGACCCGGGTTCTGGGGGCACGTTGCCTCGGCTGGTTCTGGGGTCGAGAAATCTCCTTTCCGATACCAGGAGAGCAGGCAGAGACTAGACACGGAAGCCTGGGAAGCAGGGCCTCTGCCCTCCGTCGCGAGCCTGTCCCCTCTCCTGCGCAGCCGCCTGCCTCTCCAGCCACCACTGGCTGGCCGGTGGTGCACTGGGCAGTGGTTGCCATGGCGACCAGAGCCGGGCAAGCGGAGCCTGGAGGGGCCTCACTCAGTTCCCCTCCTCAGAAGCCGTCTTGGCTGAGGCCGGCACAGCCCAGCTGGTCCCCGCCATGTGGCGGCATCATCATCATCATCGTTATTGGCCCCTTAGCTCGCCAGTCTCTGAGCTCCTCCCTTCTTGGCCCCTGTTTCCTTGGGGACTTGGTGCTTCTTCCCATTTGGCGCCCAAGATGGAGCCCGGGTTTTGAGGCAGACCTGCATTTGCGTCCTGGCTCTATCATTCCCTGCCTCACTGACCCTTTGGTGGCTTCTGGGTTGCAGAGTACACGGTGGGAATGTGATGATGCTGCTTCCTCTGTGGGCTCCTTGTGGGACACGGTGTCGGGGTCCCCTCCCCGTGCCTTGCTCCCTTCCCCACTCCAGGCCTGCTACTGGCTGGGTTTGAGCAGGTTCCCGGTGGCGCATGGAGTGTCCTGTGTGCAGCCTGTGTTCAGGCCTATGACTGAGTGTCCATGGACACACGTGCACATGTGTGTACCTGTGTCCCGTGTGCAGGGCTCCTTGGGGACTCTCCCCAGGATGGGATGAAAGGACAGCTCAGACACTTGGGTTCTGGGTCTTTATGAGCCAGTCAAGGAGACTTGGCGATTGCTGCTGCTCTAGTCCCCCAGCCTGCCCAGGCCAGGGAACCAGCCCCCAGGCTTTTGGGGGTGTGACAGTCACTGCCCCCCATAGTGCAGCATCCTCTGGAGCTGCCTGTTCCTGCAGAAAAACCCAGCGTGCAGTTCTGGGCGAAGCAGGGAGAGACCCCGGGGCCCCACCCTGTCTTCTCCTGGCCTCCCTCTGCCCAGAGCCCTCCCCAAGCTCCTGGGGAACCCAGTGTGGGAACCACAGGGCCAGTCACACGTGGAACAGTGGGGGTGATGACAGCGCCTTGGCACACAGAAGGGCTGTGAGAACTAGAAGTGACGAAAGCATCACTGACTACTGACGTGTCGGTTTACTGCTGAGGAAACTGAGGCTCAGCACAGATGAACCACTTGCCCACATGGCTCCTGCCCTGTGGAGCTCCCTGGCACATTGCAAGTCACCTGAGGGCTTCCCTGCTCAGTCCTCCTAGGAAGGGACCTTGGAGACAAATCCCATCCAGCTGACAAATGAGGGAACTGAGGCTGGGGACAGGACGGGTCTGGCCGAGGTCCCCCAGCACGTCTAGGGTGGCAGAGCTGGCCCCAGAGCCCCAGTCCCCGCCTCTCTGGCCCACCCTGCCCTGGGGGCCCCTGGGACCCCAGCAGTCATGAGGCTGCCTTCTGTGTCCCCCTCCAGAGCTACCCTCCTCGGAGCACCTGAGCGTGGCAGATGCCACGTGGCTGGCCCTGAACGTGGTGTCGGGCGGTGGCAGCTTCTCCAGCTCCCAGCCCATTGGCGTGACCAAGATCGCCAAGTCGGTCATCGCCCCGCTGGCCGACCAGAACATCTCGGTGTTCATGCTGTCCACGTACCAGACGGACTTCATCCTGGTGAGCCACGGCTCCACACCCCGCAGTCCCAGCATGCCACACGAGTGCCTGCCCGTTCCCGTTACACCCCCGCGTCCCCACGCACCCCACAGCCCTCCTGTGCTACCCCGGGGGGAGCCAGACAGGCTGGTGCGGGGGGGCCACCTGGCACTCACACCTCCCCTTCTCGTCCCCAGGTGCGCGAGCGGGACCTGCCTTTCGTCACCCACACCTTGTCGTCAGAGTTCACCATCCTGCGGGTTGTCAATGGCGAGACCGTGGCAGCCGAGAACCTCGGCATCACCAACGGCTTCGTGAAGCCCAAGATGGGTGAGCCGGGCTGGGGCCGTGCGGGAGGAACCTCAAGAGGTTACCAGGTCCTGCCCTAGACCAGCCCCATTCAGAGTGTGGGTTCTGTCCACGGAGCACACGTGGAGTGCCAGGGGCTGAGCGCAGTGGCTCGCGCCTGTAGTCCCAGCACTTTGGGAAACCGAGCAGGAGGATCCCTTGAGCCCAGGAGTTCAAGGCTACAGTGAGCTATGACCATGCCGCTGCCCTCTCCAGCCTGGGCAACAGAGTGAGACCCTGTCCCTAAAAATAATAATAATAATAATAGAGTGCCAGACATAACATGGTACAGCAGTCCTGGGCAGACTGTGCTGCCATGGTACAGCAAGGGTGATGGCCATGCATGCAGCCAGCGATGGCCAAAGGCCACCCCGTGCCCACCCAGGGTGTGGGGCAGGCCTCCCGGGGCAGGGGCTGTCCAGCTGAAGCTTGGGGCACAAGTAGCAGCTAAGCCCGGTGGGGAGCTGCGAAGGGCATTTCAGCAGCCTGCACAGCGTGTGCAAAGGCCCGGGGGCCTGAAGGCAAGCCAGAGACTCAGGAGAGCTGGAGGTGGTGGTGGAGGCTGGAGAAGGGACAGGGCCGAGTCTCGAGGGGCCTGTGCTGGGCCCTGCTCGAGCAGCTGCTGGCCCCCCCATAGTCCTTCTGGGCCCTGTACCCACCCACGCTGCCACTCCAGGTCCCCGCCTCAGTGCCCCATGTCTTTGTGCTCTCCCAGTCCAGAGGCCGGTCATCCACCCGCTCTCCAGCCCGAGCAACAGGTTCTGTGTCACCAGCCTGGACCCTGACACGCTGCCTACTGTTGCCACGCTCCTCATGGACGTCATGTTCTACTCCAACGGGTAGGACTCCCTCTGGTGTGAGGAGCTGCAGGGCGGTTGACACAGCTCTGCCTGGGAGCCCCAGTCTGAGGAGGGAGACATTCTACCCTGGGAACCCCAAAAGCTGGTGAAGGCCCAGGGGCACACGTACATGTAATGAACACCCCACTGTCCCCCGAGCTGCAAGGGCAGCCCCAGTCCCTGAAGGCACCAAGAACTCAGGTGGACGACAGTTTGCGTCCTTCCTCGGCGGATTTTGTAATGTCTAGACCACCCCCAGGTGGGGTGGGGAGGGTCCAGCCAGCTGGCAGTGACCACAGCCTATGCCCGAGCAGTGAGCAGACACAGGAAAGGGCCGGCTCCGAGGCCGACCAGGCCTCCTGCACTGTGAAGTGTGACTCCCGCCACCGTGAATGTGGCCGTCCCATCGCATCGGAGAGCGCATAGAGGGAGAGACGCCAGTTCAGGGGCCCCCAGCAAGGCCGGCTTGGGGCCTGGATCTGGGCCAGCGCAGAAGGACAGGCAGGCGGGTACAGTGGGGACCCCGCCCTCACCAGCTGCCCTTGGCCCCCAGAGTGAAGGACCCCATGGCTGCCGGCGACGACTGCGGCCACATCCGCTTCTTCTCCTTCTCCCTCATCGAGGGCTACATCTCCCTGGTGATGGACGTGCAGACCCAGCAGAGGTGAGCCAGGCCCTTGGTGGGGCCGTATTGGGCACGTCACCCACTTGGGTCCCTCATCAGCCCTCACCGCAGCCTTTTACTGTAGGTGAGCTGGCCCCCCAGCTTCGAGAGGTGCAGGGGTTGTCTGGGGTCCCCGGTGGGTGGTGGCAAAGCGGGCATTTGAGCCCTGGCCCAGCACTGTTTGTCCATCAGCCCCCACTCTGGAGCTGGGGAGGGATGTCCTGAACAGCCCAGCCCAGCACTGCCCTCCTCGTCCCCCTGCCCCCAAGACGAGGAGGCTGCAGAGTGAGCAGGTCTAGGGTGTCAGGAGGGGATGATGCTGGGAGGCCCTGAGCTCTGCCCCACCCACCCCACGGGCAGGCAGGGAAGGTTCCACGGAGGGCTGCTGGAAGGAACACAATTAACACCAGCCCGTGGGATTTTTTTCTCGCCCCTTTGAAGGTTTCCTAGTAACTTGCTGTTCACGAGCGCATCTGGAGAGCTCTGGAAGATGGTGCGGATTGGAGGACAGCCCCTGGGATTTGGTGAGCCCCGTGGGCTTCAACACCGGGGCTCACTCACACGCATCGTCCTGGTGACTCTGCCCCTGCTCAGGGGTATAGGAGGGGACACTGGGGTTTAGGGGCCTGAGTCCCCCTGATGCACCATCCCTCGACCAGCGTGGGACAGGTGCACACAGGCCTCCAGGGGACGAGAAGAGTAGGCTTCGGTCACAGGCTCTTATTTTCCCCACTCAAAAACTAATACATTGCTTATTATTAGAAAACTGGGCTGTGATAAAAATTGAGGAGAAAAATAAACACTCCTTAGTCCCGCTGCTCAGAGGTAACGAATATTGGTGGTTTTCCTTCACGTAAGTCCACGTAACGCCAGACGTCTCCCCGTGAGTCAGACGATGGAGGCAATACGTATGTTAGAAACACGCGCGTTGGGCTTGCAGGCAGCAGCTGGAGGCTCCGTCCCAGATGTTGAGGGTTGTAGAGTTCACACTTAGCTGTAAATATGCCTGCAAGAAAAATACAGAGAACCTGAAAGATTCTAGACTGGCCGATCCCATATGTTTTTGACCGTGGTGTGGAGTCGATAGATTTTACGTGGTGACCCGGCGCACACCCACCCACAGACAACTCAGAGTAAAGTTTCCCAAGACCACGCCTGCTCTAGCCTCACGCTCTGTGTCAGTTTATAAAGTGCTGGTCACCAGTCCACTAAATTGATGTCACAACTGGAAGTTGAAAAGGTACCAGGCTAGACCCTGATCTCCTACACCTGCCCTCCCCCCGCCCCGTGTTTATAGGAATAGTTCTGTCTACGGCTAAAGGGATCTTAGGACACAACCTACCTCCACCGCGTAGCAGAGTGGATGGTCAGAAGTGCAGGCATGAGGCCCACACGGCCACCACAGAGGCCTGTGGATTCGGGCAGAAATCGAGAACTTGGGCGACGTCCCAGGCCACTCCTGCACAAGTCCAGGGGCTGAGAGCATAGGACCAGGGGCCGAGGGGACGCTGGCCTTGGTGACAATGGGGGTGACCCACAGAAGGGTGCAACCCAGGGTTAGTCCCAGGCTTGGGGTTCAGAATTCTGTGGGAGCTGGTGACCAGATCTGCACCCACCCACCCAGTTAAGGAAGGTTGGGGAAGTGCATCATTGCTGAAATCAGAACACAAGCTTTTAGGGAAACAACCTAGGGAATTGTGTAGGGGGAGGAGAGGGGTCCTCAAATCCTAGAGATCTTGTAGGAGGAAGCCCCACGTGCACCTTCCAGTCAGGGAAGGGAGCCTGGGGGTGAGGGAGGGACCAGCCCCAGGCAACCCCAAGTGACATTACAAAGGGGTGGGAGGGCCTTACAGACCCCTGCCGTGGGGGTCTGGAGGGAGAAGGACATCACATTCCAGCCCCAACCAAATGCCTTTAGAACAGGCAGGGGCTGTTACCTGGCAGGGACTCCAGGGAAAAAAGCTAGGCTCAGAGAGGTGATCTGCCCACCATCATCAGGCTAGAAAAGAAGTCAGAGCAAGACTGAGAGGGGCCCAAACCCACGTCCTCCCTGTCATCCATGCCACCTCCAGCTCTGTCTTTGGAGAACTCACAAGATGGATCGGGAACACAAGGCGCAGAAATAGGCAGAGGGTGATGGGGGCTGGGCAGAGCCGGGTCTGTGGCGCCCTGAGGAGGGCGTGCCCGTTGATGGCCAGTGACCAGACAGAGAAGGCTCCTGGGTGGAGGGGCCTTTGGGGTTGGGGAGGGAGAAGTTCTCTGGGAAGATCGTGGGTGTGGGGCAGGTGCTGGCCGCAGAGGGCAGGGGCTCGGAGCAGCGGTGTGGGCCAGGGCGCTCTGGCCACGCAGTGCTGAGCGTGGTCCCCCTCTTCCTAGACGAGTGTGGCATCGTGGCCCAGATCTCCGAGCCCTTGGCTGCTGCAGACATCCCCGCCTACTACATCAGTACTTTCAAGTTCGACCACGCACTGGTGAGTGTCTCCCACCCCCGGGCGGAGCTGGGGCAGGGGCAGGTGCCCGGGCTCACGGGCAGGTGTGTGCTTGCTGCCCCTGCAGGTGCCAGAGGAGAATATCAGCGGCGTCATCAGTGCCCTGAAGGTCAGTCAGGCAGAGGAACACTAGAGGGCCTCTTCTGCTGCCCCTGCCGCTGCCCGGCCTGGGCCCGGCCCCTGCCCCGAAGCTTGTTCTTGCAGTATTTCTCCACAGACTGGAAAATCGGCCCGGGGACCCCCAAGGAAGGGGCCTCTGGGAGACCCCCCAATTGCCAACCCCTCCAGGCCTGGGGCCCAAGCCAAGGCCTCCCCATGCCCTCTTGCCTTCCCAGAGCCCCCAGACCCCCCGGAGAACGACCCGCCTCCTTCCCCCAACCCCACCCCCAAAAAATGATTTCTGAGGTCCAGGGAGCACGTGAGCCATCCACGTTCCCATCCGTCCTCGCCCGCAGCCGGGGCAGATGCCAAAGGAAGCTGGTCCCTCCCACGAGATGCTGGTGTGCCGTTCCTCATGTCACCCCGGGGGGCTGGCAGAGCGGGGCTGAGTTTGTGGAGCCCCAGAAGGCCCCCATGAAGGTGGAGGCCGAGTACTGTGGTCGCTGGTCTCTGGTCCCATCAGCTCAGGGCTGGTTCCCTCAGAGTGGAGGCCAGCGGGTCAGAGTGGCTGGTGAGGCTCAGACAGGAACACGGTGGGGGCCCTGCGCTGGGAAGGACCCCAGCCACCCTGCACCTTGCCTGCCAACCACAGGGCCTGCGCCCGAATCCCAGCACGACTGCCAAGAGGGGCCCTGTCCAGTCCTCCCCACCATGAGCGCTCACTCCTTGGGGAGGAGGGGCCCCGGGAGACCCACCAGCCTGGAGCACCAGCTCCTGTCCCTTCTTTCCCTGGACCCTATTTGGGCAGGCGGAGTCTCAGTTTCCCCCAGCGGGGGCATCCCCATGGAGGTCCTTAGGGGACTCCCCACCTCCCCAACAGTTGACTAGACCAGCACAGGCCTCCCCGCCATCCTCCCCTCCCCCGCTCCCCACTCACCTGCCTGCCCGCCCGCCCCTCGGCTGGGGCCGTGGCGTTCACGAGTACTTGACCTGGGAGGCAGCTTAACTGAGCCTTAATAGAGAATATCGTACCTTGTTTTAGTTTTTATTTAATGTTTTTGCGCCCAGGCTGCTGTTGGCAGTGGTTTCTGTTTTGGGGGGATGGGGCGTATTTGAGTTCTGTTGGGGGGCCCAGGGCTCAGTGTTGCTTGGCTGGTGCCCTGTGGCTCCAGGGACGGGCATGAGAGCGGGAGCTGCGGTGGGGGCCTCGACCGCGTCCTGAGTGGGGAGCTGGGAGCGGAGGTCCGTTACGAGATGCTGGGACCATTTGGTGCCCCACCTGGGGCCTCCCAACCAGCCGTGGTTCTGTCTGGGCATCAGAGCGGGTGAGGTGGACAGGGAGTGGCAGGCCAGCCGGGTGGTCTTACCTGGGAAACAGGTTCAGTGCTGTGCCCCCCGTGGGGTGTGCTGTCTGGGTGAGCAGGACCCCTGCCTCTTTCCCAGGCAGCAGCTGAGTTGTGCTGTCCCCAAGAAGGTCAGAGGAGAAAGGATATTTTCCTGTCCTGGTGAAGGACTCCCCGCTTCTCTGAGCTGGCAGGAAGGACCCTCTGAGCCCCAGGGCTCACCAGAGGGAGGAGCTTTCTTCAAGATCCTTCGGGATGCTAAAGAGCCCACCACACTAATTAGGAACCCACTTTTTTTTTCTTAAGTTAATTCATTTTGCACAAAACTCCAAAACTTACAAATCGTTTGCTGGTCCCAAGAGGGAGGTGGCCGAGTGTGGGAAGGGCAGTGGTTAAAGCCCTAAGTCCCCTTTCTGTCCTTGGAAGGCCTTGATTTTCCTTTCTGTTACTTCCCTGATGGTGTCACTTCTCTGCCTTTCCCTCCTGCCGTGCACGTGTGTCGGCCCGTGCCCCCCACCCCGAGTCTTGTGTTCCCTGGATCTCCTAGGACGTATCTATTGTACACACCTATAAATACCTGTGTTTTATGTTGATAGAGATATATACTGTAAATAGCATATATACTTGAGCAATATATATGTTAATATATACTGTGTGCGCAGTGCGTGGACACAGACCCCACTGTGTGTGTGCGCGGGGGCGCGACGGCCTCCGCCCCACGCTGTCTGCCAGGCACACAGGCACGTTTTGAGCCACCATATATTTTTAATTCAAGTATATAGGCAATACGATTATTAGAGAAGCCGATTGAATCCCTCTGACCTGACCCGAGAGAAAGCGAAACCAGCAGCCGAGGAGCCTGCGGCCCAGGGTGGGTGCTGAGGGGCTGCGTGGTGTGGGTCGCACTTTCTGTGTCCCCGTTTCCCCAGCCAGGGTGCCTGGACATGCTTGTTTTATTTGGGGGGATGTTGGTTCAGAGGGAAGAGTAGTTGGAATTTCTTGCTTTTTAACAGAACGTGCCCCAGCCCCCACCCCCAGCTTCCTCACCCCGAAGACCTGGGCCCACCGGCTGGGCCAAATTCCCTGCGTCCCACCCAGGGTCCCCTGTCCTTGGATGGTGGTTTTTCTGCAGGTGGCTTACCTGATTGCTTTTTTACCTGCAAGCTTAGAAATCTCAGGTTCTTTTCCCAGGTCTCCCCCGGGGACAGGTCCGTCCAACCGAGGAAAGCCCGCGTGCCGGGAGGGTCGTGGCAAGGGCATGGCTCTGCTGCCCTGGCCTGCTCCACAAGGTGGCCCCGTCCCAGCCTCCGTCTCGGGAGCTGTCCCCAGGGGACCCCACGCCTCGGCCATGGTGGACTCTTTAACGTTCCCATTCCCGTCCTCCTGCTTGTGTGAAGAAGCTTGGTTTATCTTGGTGTTCTGTGCGTAGCGTAGTCTTGGTTTGGTCTCACAGCTCTTTGTGGGGGGGACGTGAGAGGTTTTCCCAGGGCCGTCTGCCCTGTCCCTTCGCCACGCCCCCAGCCGTGTCCTGGGCTGCTGGCTGTGAGCGTCTCTGCAGGCCCCGTTTGGAGGGGCGTGTGTTTCTCAGAGGGGCTTTGGGGCCCACATCACTGGCAGACACGTAGGGCTCCCTGCCTGGCTGCGCCATCGTCCCCCCGGCCCCAGCCTGAGGCAGCCTGAGGAGGATGGGCGTGTCGGGGAGGGAAACGGGGGTCTTCACACCATGGGGTCTCCGGGAACACAGCCGGGCTGCCTGGGCAGGGCTGCCACGAGGAGGGGGCGCAGGCAGCCCCAGAGCTGCCGCCTGGGCTCTGAGAGTATGTCTTTGCCTCCGTGTGGCTCCCTAGTAAGAAAAGCTCAGTCTAGACACTCCCCTCACCCCTCATCCCTGTATGCTGCAGAAGGGGGTGGGGGGAGCAGTGACATTCCCCACTGATGAGGCCCCACCTCAGCATGGGGCTCCCCTGGTCCCCAAGAACCCCCTTTCTCCCTTAGCACCAGTCCTGTCCCTGCAAAGACCTGGGCATGGCCAGCTCTGCCCCTCCTTCCTCCATGGGGTCTTGAAGCCCCCTGAGAAGCGCTGCCCAGCTCTGCCCCCAGCCCAGGTGTGCATCGAGCTGGAGAGGCAGTCCTGATCCCGCTAGCCCCCTGCCCCTAAGACCAGGGGGCCCAGAGCCCCCACACCACCAGCAGCCTCCCCTCCCTCACCTCCAGGTACCAGGCCGCTCGCAGGTGGGAAGGGAAGGAGCTGGGTGGCCCAGAGCTGCCCACTGTGGCTGCCCCAGCAGACAGCACGGCTGAGGTGACCGATTTGATGTGCAGCAGGAGGATGCTTGGTCTGGTGGGGTTGATCCCCTCTGAGGTGACAGAGGGTGCCGTGGCAGTCAGGAGAGAAGACTAGGGCAGGTGAGAAGGGCCAGGCCCCAGTCCAAGCCCAGGGCGCCATTTGCCTGGTGACCTTCAGAGGCGAACCTGGCCACCTACCACCAGCTGCCCCAGGCAGACCCTTAGGCGTCCCAAGGCCACCCTGGGCCACCTCTCCACACCTTTAGATCTGGATGTGGGGACACCCAGGGCTCTTCCCAGCCCCAGCTACAAGAGGGGGCCTTTGGGGGACCCCCACGTGACCACAGAGCACTCCAACCCTGGGACCGAGGGATCTTTGATGCCACGTCCCGAGTGAAGCACTTGGTCGGGGGGAGGTGGGCAGAAGACACCCCTGTACCTCTGGGAGGGCTGGGCAGGGCTGAGAGCAGAGGAGTCGGCCGTGGCGGAGCCTGGGTGAGGGTGACGAGCAGTGACAAGACCTCGGCTCTGGGTACTGTGCCAAGGGTGGGGCTGGGCCTGGAGGGGAGTCGCCTTCCGCCCAGAGAGGCCGCCAGCCCGGCGGAGCCGCACGGGCAGGCTTGGGAAGAGTGGCCAGGGCTTGTCCCAGGGGTGTCGAGCCCTGGCATACCTGGCATAGCTAGGGAGCTTTTCCTGCATCTCGAAGCTCATCCCAGCTTGCTTGCTTCTGTTTTCAAATTAGAGGCACCAAAAGGACAAGCTTGACTGTCCCTGTGCCCCGTTCCACAGACTGGGAGGAGGCCGTGGGTGGGCTGTGGCCGGCTGTGCTCTCCGGGCCTCCTGTGAAGGCTGCTGTCCTGGACACTGAGGGCGGGAGCGCGTGGCTGAGGCAGCAGGGGGCCCTGGGGGCTGATGGCACCAGGAGTGGCCTGAAGCAGAAGCCCGAGGCCCAGGCCATGGCATCCGTGGGCAGCCTGGTGGCAAGTGGTTTTGGTACGAGGAGAGGGGAGTGGAGGGAGTCAGAAGTGCAGGGCGGCCCTGCCCTGGGAGTTGGGACGCTGGTCTGTGCATGTTTACGTGTGTGCGTGCGTGTGTGAGCGAGGGCGTGTTACACACGGTAGTGTGGGTGTGCACACATGTGCAGAGCCCAAATCCGAGCTATGGGACTGGCTCTTTCAGTATTTTGAGTCCTCAGTAGCAGTCTCGCCGTGGGTACAGAGGTGGTGAGGGCAGCAGGCGCAGGCCCTGGCCGCAGGGCAGAGGTGTCCCCAGAGGCCTGGCAGCCCGTGAGTCGGTCTGAAGGGGCAGGGCCTGCCCACGCTGACTCTGCAGAGCGCCACATCCTGCAGCGTTCACGGGGCGGGGCCGTGCAGGCTGGGCCCCCACACCCACCGGGGCTCACCCTGGAAAAGCGTCCAGCAAAGCTGGAGACCCCACTTCATTTGCAGGGGCGAAAAGCAGGCCAAGCTCAGTGCGTTTTCCTTTCCACTGCCTCAGTTTCCCTATATTCAGAAAACAGTCCGGGAAGAGGTGAGCAGACTGGCTCCAACATGGGAGGGGGCTCACAAGACAGCTCCAGGCCTCCCCCTGCTCTATGCCAAAATCATTTCCGTTATCCTGAGATGGGGCCAGC